AAACCACTACAAACAACTACAAACGATTTCCTACAAGGTACACTAGTTAAATTGATTGTAGGTGAAAGTGGGGTGGGGGCGATTTTTTCTACCTATCGTATTTTGTTATCTGTTGAACTACAAACAAATTTAAATCCACTACAAACAACTACAAACAAAGTCCTACAATGTGCACTGGTTAAAGTATTTATTTGCAAAAGTGGGGGGCTAACTTCACAGAGCTGACAAGGCCTCGCTAGCTACCCAAATTCGTATTGTATATCATTATTACCTTTACAAGTTAATATTTATAATTATTTCACTCTGTAATGTATCATACATACTTAAATATCTAAATCTTTTTATCTCAATTGTCTGTAAGAAAACATTTTTCTGTAGACTAAATAAATAAATAAATAAAAATACTTTTGGAATATGATGGGCATTGGTCTTTGAGATCGCTGAGCTGCATTCAGACAGCTGATAGTTCACATCATTGCTTAGAATAATATATAAAATGCATATATGTAATACTTCTATATTGGCACTAAGCTAACTTCTCAATGTGTAAGCATTCCGAAATCAAAGCGAGACAGTCTAGTACCGTTTTTGTCAATGTATTATGTACTTGAGTGCCGTTTTTGTGTATGTGTTATGTACATGTTTATTTATAAACGTATGTGTACCTTTTTTTCGTACGTGTCTATTGATATATCTGTACTGTAGTGTTTTCGGACGGTACTAGCTCTTGCTGCCAATATAGGAGTATTACATATATGATAAAATGCGACTCAGTCTATTGACAATTGAGTTTATCTGTGTCAGGCCGATACTTAAAAGACCTTGAGTAACATAGAGTTCACAGTCATTAGATCCATTAACTGGAGATAAGACAGAATAGTTATTGATAATTCCGCAAAATGTGTCCCTCAAGTTAAATCACCAAGAACGCAAAGATGATTATCTCCTATTCTGAAACTTTAAGATATTACATTATCTTCATCACATCATTTGTAAATCACATCATTGCTGTTCGGTGGAATATACGGAGCGCAGACAAAAGGGATCCACAAGAGCTGCGCACACTAATACATAGAGTAAAGAGTCAGTACCCTGCAAAAAATTGTGCGACTAATCTCTAAAGAGAGTATTCCGAAATTAATCTCAATCGGGTACAATTGGGCATTAATTAGTCGCAACTAGTCTCATACGGGTACTAATGGAGGTCAATTAGTCTCGACTCATCCCTTATGGGTATAATTGGAGATCAATTAGTCCCCAGCTCATCTCTAACGGGTACTATTAACGATTTAATGATATGTACGCACTTAGTCAATGAAATTTCATGTGCGGCGTCCCTGCAAAAATCGCGACTACTCCTTGCATGCATGTAAAGAGTACTCCCGAAGGACCAAGGAGTACTCCAAAATTAATGACAATTCATATAAAATATATGGTCCAATTAACATTGCGATGTCCTAGGGCAGGACCATATACTCCATCTCTGCATTACATCAGAGTAGCACAAAACTACTCCAACATACTCCACTGACATTGTTGT